CATTAGCACCTCCTGCCCTTCCATCCTTCCCTGTCTTCCTGGGGCCAGAGGGGCGAATCTTCTACCCACACCCTAGCTAAGCCTCTCCCTTCTACATAAGGCCTGGTTTCAAGCCCTGATCACCCCGTCCTCTCTTCTTCCCTCAGTCTGCACACTCGTGTGTTCAAACAGTTACTATCCTACTCTACCAATTACCCTTATGACTGTCTCTTCCCCTGAAAACTCTTGATGGTTGGGTGATGTCTTGTGCTTCTTAATGATGTCCACTGACTTTGCATACAGCAGTCACTCAACAAGTATTTTTAGTTGATTAATAGAATTATAGCTATAGCATTAAAAAATCTATGACAATGAGATCTTTTTTGTTGTTGTTAATCCTCACCCGAAGATATTTTCCCACTGATTTCAGATAGAGTGAAAGGGAGGGAGGGAGGGAGGGAGGGAGGGAGGGAGGGAGGGAGGGAGGGAGGGAGGAAGAGAGAAACATGGATGTGAGAGAGACACATCGATTGGTTGTCTTCTGCAAGACCCAGACTTGGATCAGGGGTCGAACCTGCAACCCAGGTACACGCTCTTGACTGGGAATCGAACCCAAGACCCTTCAGTCTGAGGGCGGATGTTCCCACCGCTGAGCCAAACCGGTCAGGGCTGCCAATGAGATCTTTTTCCTAAAAATGTTCTACTGGAACGTAGTCGACCATGTCAATCCCTGAACAAGAAACAGCAGTCTTGTCCTAGGTAACACTTCTGTTTGCGGCCAATCATCTAGATGCTCTTTATCAATGATTACACTGGTGGGAACCTTTGGGTCAATTTTTCTTCTACCTCTCTTATGACCCACTTCCACCTAGACACTATCTACATTGCCAGTAAATCTTCGGCGCTTCCCGAACCAGCTCTGGGGAGGTATATAGCAGGTTATGGGGCCTTGGTTTGAATCCTGGTCCAATCACCTAGTAGCTATAAAATCTTTGGGGGAAAAATCACTTACATGTCTCTGAACCTCAGCTTCTTCATCTTTAAAATGGGGATAACTTGGAGGGTTACTGTAAAACTTAATAAGACAATATTAATCTAAAAAAATGTCTGAAACATAGTAGTTGCTTAATAAATGGTTGGTTATTATTATTAAAAGGAAGAGGAGGCGAGATCAGGAAGAAGAGAAGGGTATAGAAGTATTTCCTAATTTTTATTTTTCTTCCATTTTTCTTCTTGGGGCCAGAAAAGCCTCCATTAGGGGCTCCCAAGAGAGGAGAGAATCCCTTTTTCTGAATGCTATGAGCCAAAAGATCCATTTCTGTTCGTTTGGATGGTTTGGATAGGAACCTGCCCTGGGGCAGGGAGATGAGCAACAACAGACATCACAGGGGCAGCGATCTTTCAGTTTTTATCCAAGAACCGTCCTGGTACATATCAGACCCTCAGTAAATATCTGTTTGCTGAATGAACATCTTCCAGCCCAAAGCCACATGGGGTGCAAAGCTACCACGGGGACTTCCTCATCATGGTATCCACGGAGCCTGGCCCTGCCTCTCTCATCTATCCTGTGGGAATCTACTGCTGACATTTAAAAATAATACTCTGTTTTGTGGCTATGACAGCCAGCCAGGGGATTATTCGCAAGAAGTCCTGAGAGACCAGAGGCTGCCCTGGGCACACCAGGCCCCAGCACCAGCCCCCACCAGCAGCACTAAGGTTCTCGAGTCACACAGGTGACAATTCTGCAGGTTTAACTTGCAAACAAATGCAAAGAAAGGGGGGGGGGGGATCAGCTCTTAGAATTGCATGAAAAAAAACCGATTCTCCTAGAACTATGCCTTCCTTGAGCAACACTAAGCAACAATATGCTCTTTCTTTCCATAATACTGGTAAAGAAATGTAAAAACCTGTTCTAAAACTTGTCTATGCTTCAATTTCAAAGTGCCATTCTAGGAGGTGGGAGTCGGGGGAACCTGCCAAACAATATCCCCAAACTGGAATGGACACAGCATTACCTTACAGTGGCCCTGGGCTTGTTTCTCTTCCTAGAACAAAGGAGAGGAGGCCAGTAAGCAGCCACATGAATATTAATTACTCTCCCTCACCTGCTGCAACAGCGGTTGAGGCCAAGCAGCAGGCAGCGGGCAGCGTGGTCACCGGGAAGGAAAGCTGTGTGTCTCCAACCAGCAGCCTTAGGGCCAGGCGAAGACCCAGCAAGGGCTAAACTACTCCTGGGTGACAAGGAAAAACCACTCGATGTAGTTTCATTGTGGAGACAATGGAGCACACTTCGTTGGCATATACATCCATAACCAAACACTGATTGCATTTTTCTCACCATTAAACCAAACTGTTAGGCCTTTTGGCAAGTGGTAATAGTGGGAGAGAAAGGTAACAGACCTTCAGTTCTACGAGATGCGTGTCTTTATTGCTTCAAACAGCATGTGTGACTATATAGTTGAAGAATACGTAAGTAGATACCCCCAAATGGAGCATGCCCATTGTCAAGGGGAGCAATGAGCAGTTTTAATACTTTAAACTCCCCGTGACCCCTCCTCCACCTTCCCCTCTGCTGCAGATGACAACCAGAATCCTTGGTAATGAAGGCATCAACCGGTCGGCATACAGAAATCAGCAGACGATCCAAGTCAACTTGGTCAGCTTGTCAGTGGGAAGAAGGTAGAGTTAGAGGTGGATCGCACCAGATGGCTTCATTCTGCTCCCAGCGTGGCTGTGACCAGCTGGCCCTGGAGCAGAACCACAGAGGCACAGGGGCCCTAACAAGCCCAAAGGACCTGTCTCCTCTGTCCCAGAGCTCCACGGTCTGTCTGTAAGGGACAAGGCGAGGAGCTCCAGTTGGGCTATCACACTATGGCAGTAACACGCGTGAGCATCTTCCACGTGTCTTTGTTAGCAGTTGGTCAAAGCCCCTTTGCGAAGCACAGGCTCTGAGGCTATGGGGCAGGGACATGTGGCCTTTTCTAGGAGCTGTGACCTGCAGTTACCATCACAACCCCCACATCTGTCTCCTGGGCACCCTCCCCACAGCCACGGTCCCATGCGGCGGCCTCAGCCATCCTTCGAAAGTGGCCACGTGCTTCAGTCACCTGTCAATACCCTTCACCAGCTCTCTCCTGCCCCCTGCATGGAGCCCACACGCCTTGGGGGGACACTGCCTTCTAGGAGGGAGGCAGACCATTAAAAGCAGAACAAGGTGCAAGCAAGGTGACAGCTGTCAGAACCGCCAGGAAGGACAGAAACAAGGCGACGGGGAGCGGCTGGGGGGATTCCTATAGCGTGTGGTCAGGGAAGGCCTTTCTGAGTTGCCTGGATGTGGGGACCTGGAGGACGAAAAGCTGCTGGACACCTACAAAGCTGGGTGCAGAGCATTCCAGGCTGCGCCGATGAGCCCAAAGGCTCTGAGCTGGGAACGTGCACACCGCGGTCAAGGCACAGAAAGGCTCTCCCGACTACTGACCTCCAGACCACCATAGTCACCTACCTACTGAAATCTCAACTCTCGGGTGTAACGGACCCCAGCCTTAATGCATCCAAACCTCCACCCCCAACTTACACAACCCTGCTCTTCCCCACCTCAGTAAAAGGCAACTGCATTCTGGCCAATGCTCAGGCCAGAAACGTGGAAATCATCCTAGGCTCCTTTCTCTCAAACCCTGTTGCCCCTACTCTCGGAACGTCGCTGGCATCCCTCCACAGCTACTATCGTCATTGCTGTCAGCCTGGTCCTGGCCCTCCTGCACCGAGATCATGGCCAGAGCCTTCATCTGGTCTCTGCTTCCTCCCCGCCTGCTCTACAACAAAGCCTCCATGCTACCCCGTGGGGTGTGCAGCTCAAAATCCTCTCCTCGCATCCCCCTCACTCAGGGTAAAGGAAAGTCCTTACAATGGCCTTTATGGCCCCATATGGTCCACTGCCAACTACCTCTCTAGCCTCTCCTCCTACTACGCTGCCTCTCGTCACACTGCTCTGGTCACCTGGCCCTTCGAGCTGACCAAGCACCCTCAGGGCCTTTGCATTTGCTGTTCCTTCCTATAAGCCCATGACTCACTTCCTCACTTCCTTCAGGTCACTGTTCAAATACCACAGAGAGAGGCAGTGCTGTTTTTAAGCAAATGCGGGAGTGCATTCTAAACAAGGGTGCTTCGGAGCTTGTCTCAGAGAAAATGAATTGAAGGATCAAAGGAAAAAACCCCAACATAGCTGTACGTGTAAAATAGTGGTTTGCCAACAGTGGTTACTCCTGTGTGGACAAACGGCTGAAATGTTACTGTTTTCATCTGCATGGCCATAGTAGGTATGATATATTCAGCTTGTGAAAAGCCAGCAAGTTGTATATTCATGATATATGCACTCTGCTCGTATTCTTTTATTTTTTTAATCCTCGCTCAAGGATATTTTTCCATTGATTTTTTAAAAATACATTTTTACTGATTTTTTTTTTTTTTTTTTTTAGAGAAAAAGGGAGGGAGAGATGGAAACATCTATTGGCTGCCTCCTACAGGCCCCCACCGGAGATTGAGCCTACAACCCATGTGCCCTGACTGGGAATCGAATCAGGACCTCTCAGTCCATGGGACGACGCTCACTGAGCCACACCAGCCAGGCACCATCTATCTATCTATCTATCTATCTATCTATCTATCTATCTATCTATTTATTTATTTATTCAGAGTTGGAGGGAGGGAGAGGGACAGAAACATCGATGTGAGGGAAACACATCAATTGGTTGCCTCCTGTGTTGTAACCCACGATTGAACCCACAACTGAGGTACATGCCTGTGCCTGAGAATCGAACCCTTGACTCTGGGTTCTATGGGCTGACGCTCTAACTGCTGAGCCAAACCGGCAAGGCAGCATTCTGAATGTATATTTAAATGTCAATAAAATATATGCCCAACACATATCACCTTTCTTCAACATTTGAAAGCAGAAATTAATATCCTAATGAAACCCAAACAACTCATTTCCATTTCCTCTCTCTGTGCAAACAAAGACTTACCATCCCACAGTCGCACTGGTCAGGATCACATCAAACAGCAGTATTGATAAACCAGCTGTGATCATCTGCAGAAATAATTCCAACAAAAGGTCATCAGAGTGGTAGGACTTCAGTAACCTTCTCCAAAGTCACTCTTCACAAGCTTGGCTCACATTAGGTCAGATCCCTGACATTAACCTTTCTTTCCATTTCACAACATTTCCCCCCCACACCTAGTCCCCTGTAGTGTTGCCTCTGAGCAAAGCGTTTGGTGCAGAAAATGCTAAACCCTAGTCTATTTTGGAGGTGGGAATCTTTAAAGCAGCATTTCATTTCTAAACTCTTCAGAAGAGGAGGCACCGAGCCAATGTCTCACTCCTGTCGGCAGGGCAGGGTGCGATAAGAACACTTATTTGCATTTCGTCTCAGCTGTGCAGAATTAATCCCCAAGGTCAATGGTGCTCATTAACCTGTTCCCAGATCCTCCAGATAAAAGCTGGCATCTGCCTTTGACTGTAGCAGCGACTTTTCCTTGTCCTAATGTCTCTTTCCACCCATGTCACACATTCTAATAAACCAGGTGCTTCCAGGGGAAGAGAGCAATTAAATCATTGCATTTATTATATCTAGAAGCGGGTGGAGGGGGGGACTCCCACATCTGCCTGAGCTAGAAATGACAGAAAAGTCTCTTAGGAATGTCAGTGACAGAACCCCTGCAGTGCCTCTACACTGTTGGCACAAAGAATGTATGTGAACCAAAGACCCTGTTTTGTCAACATTTAGAAAGTCTGCTCAGGAAAAGATGTTTTTTTCCCCAGAATTCTGAATTCTGGAATGACAAACTGCTTCCACTGGGAAGGTCACCCCTAGGACTGGCTTTCTTGAAAGAAGTAAGAAGCAGGCTGTATTGGGATGGGTCCAGGCTGGATGCTTTCGGAAATGTCAACTACCCTGTCACTCAAGGGGACTTCACATGCTGTCATAGAGCCTGTTTGGGTCGCCAAGCGAGTAGATGGTCAGAAGGAAAGAGTACGTTTACTGAGTCCCATCGTCACTCATTTACTATCTCAAAAAGAAGTCCGGAAATACAAAGTCTCAGAATACAAACTTTGTGAGATTTTGGAACCTTTGTAGTTCACGCATTTGGGGTCACTTTCTGTTTACTTCCCTTCACTGATTTGTAGCCCCAAACCTTGACAACAAAAAAGACCTGTGTTGTCTTCAGGAATAAAAAAGAAGTGGCGACAGGGTCAGAGTCCATTGCAAAGCAGAATCCAAAGAGCAAAGAAGGAAATTTTCCAAAGTGCTGGGTAGTGGGCTTTATCGTAATAAGTATGATGAATGGCACCTGTTCCTCCACACCGCCTCCTTTCTGCTTTATTGAGGACCTTTGCATCTACGGGATAAATACAATGGGCCTAAAATTGTATTATCTTGCAATACAATTGTCTGGTTTTGGAAAGTTATACTAACCACGTAAGTTAGTTCATAAGCTTCCCTCCTTTTCCTGTAAAGGGTAACGGTGATCTCTTCTATGGACACTTCTAGTTGGGGGTGATCGTGAATGGCTGCTGTTCTAATCAAGTCTTCTCTTTCTTTTTAACTCCAGTTTGCCATTTCCAGTTTTTCCATCCAATCTTCTCTTTCTTTTATTCTAGTTGGCCATTTTCCATTTTTCCAAATATGTATTTCATCTAGGTTTTCCAACTTACTACATTTAGCTGTTTGAAAAAATATTTTAACTCATTTGTACCCATTTTTATCATCTTCCTTTTTATTCTTACTTTTATTGTCATTTTTTCCTTCTTTCCCCACCCCCCCCCTTACTTAGTCTTAACCAAAGTTAATCTTGTTAAACCCGCTTTACTTTTGAAAGTCCTGCCCGGCAGGTGTGGCTCAGTGGTTGAGCGTCGACCCATGCACCCAGAGGTCGCCGGTTCGATTCCGGTCAGGGCACATGCCCAGGTTGTGAGCCTGATCTCCAGTGGGGGTCATGCAGGAGGCGGTCAATCGATGTTCTCTCTCATTGATGTTTCTATCTCTCTCTCCCTCTCCCTTCCTCTCTCTCTAAAATCAATAAAGGAAAAAAAAATTAAAAGAAAGTCCTCGCACACTTTCCGGATGGTGCTGATGGAGAGTGGTTCTTGGAATTGCTAGAAAGAGCTCTGGTCCACGGAGGGACGTCAGTGATGTTAGAAGCTAGCACAATGGAACACGTCACTGAATTTCTGAAAGTGTCCCTAATTCCTGTTGCCTTTGCTCCTTTTCACCAGCTTTTTTCCCCAACTTTACCGAGGAAGACTTGACAAATATAACTGTTATATACTTGAAGTGTATTGTGTGATGATTTGATACACACATATTCACAACCTTCTTTGATCAGTTTCTCTCCTTGCTCTCTGACTGGTGCTCTCACATGACTTTCAGGCTAGTCTGTGAGGCTGACTATGCCCTGCAATAGTCACAGCCTGGGACTTGTATCTCTATACATTTATTTACCTTGGGAAAAATCTCATCTGCTCTGAGATAGGCAGCTGGCCTGCTTGTACCTATTAACTGCACCTTTTGCCAAGAAAAACACATCTTAAAATTTTCAAACCAGCCCTTACTTGAAAATAGGTTGGTTGAGTAGCCACGCTGGTGCCTTTGCCGTCTGCTGCTTCCTGGAAATGTTTGTCTAGTCTCCTTGCCTTTCTCCCGGGCTGCTTTTTCAACTTCTCTAAATTTTTATCTCTCAAGGAACAAATGTTCTGCTGGCTGACTCACTGAAACTTCGCAAATAGTTTTGACTTATTTCTGCAGAGAATGTACAGTGAATTCATTTGCACTATGGAGCTACAGTGGAGTTTCATGGGCTACTTTTTAATCTATTTCAGTAAGAGCCCTCAGTTTCTTAAGCTTCTCTATTTTATTTCCATCACCAGCCCTAGCAGGCAGCTCCTGTTGGAGGCATTTCTCTCTCTCTCTCTCTCAAACACACACACACACACACATCAAAGTTCTACCCCTTCACAAAAGCCACTACATAAGGATGAGTAGCAGCCAACACCACCTCGCTGAGGGGCAGTTGATCAGCCAAGAGCCCACTCCGCTGCTAATCCCACCAAGGAACAAACAGAAGCCAGGAGAGGCCGACTGCAAGTCTGGGTACAGAATGTCTCACGCACAGTCACCAAAGGGCGGAGGTGGAAGGGACTCCCTAAGCTCAGCGGTGGGGAAAACCACGACCAAGATGGTATGTGATTTGCCCCAGGGGCCTGGCCGCTTCACGGCAGCGAGCAGTAGAGCGAACACCCTGACTCCCAGGTCAGCCCTCTCTCACAGCCAGAAACTCAAGGGTCTACCAAGCTCCATGCAGGGTTTTTTTTTTTTGGGGGGGGGGATTCACTGAAAGCAGGGACTCAAACAGGTATTTACAAATCTATGTTCATAGCAGCAATACTCAACAAAAATAGTCAAAATTTGGAAGCACCCCATGTATCCACTGAAGGATGAATAAACAAGCAAAAGGTGATGTGTACACACAATGGAATACTATTCAACCTTAAAAAGGAAAGAAATTCTGCAATATGCTACAACATGACTGAACCTAAAGGGCATTATGCTAAGTGAAATAAGCCAGATGGACACAGAAGGACAAATATTGTATGTCTCCATCTACATGAGCTACCTAGAGTAGTCAAACTCATAGAGACAGAATAGAATAAGGTTACCAGGGCCTGGGAGGAATGGGGAGTTAGTGTTTAACGGGTGCAGAGTTTCAGTGTGGGATGATGAAAAAGTTCTGGAGATGGATGTCAATAAAAGCATGAAGTTTTGTGTGTGTGTGTGTGTTTTTAACCTTTAAAATGGCTAAAATCTGTTCATGAAAAAGATTTCATGTCTTGGAACTTGACATTCAAGAGACACAAAAGTAGCAGCCATTACCACCAATTGTCCTTGCTCACAAAAAGTATTTTTAAAAACACAAATTTTTCTCCAAAGAAGAAAGAGTTTTGTGGTCTGAGGAATGTCTCCTTCGCACACACGGATCCGAATAACAAACAACAGGACCTGCCACAGGCGGAGAGATGCCAACATCAGCAGAACTCAATACATTGTGTCTGCAGTGGGGCTTTGAACTTCCTGGCTTTGTCAATGGATGTCACAACCTCTGTGCTATTTAAACAGAGTTCGGTATTTAAAGCAGGTCAGGTTTGTTTTTCAAACATTCATTTCAATCCTAAGACAAAGTTTTTTGTTTTTTTTTTAAAGAAAATAAAGAGGAGTGGATGTTGGTGGGAGCCTGCCAGATAGTCATGTATTTGGAGGAGAATCAGAGTTTGTTATTTGTTACTGACTTGTTGTTGTTTAAATACATATAAATTTCTTTGAGAACTGACTGACTGCAGCATGTCTACAAGGCCCTTCACCAGAACTGCCTTTGTCCCAGCCCGTGCATCCCCCACTTACACTGGCTGTAGATTTTGTTTTTATGTTTTTTATCCTCACCCAAGGACTTTTTGCATTTTTCTTCATATAGAGCGGGAGGGAGAGAGGGAGGAAAAGAGAGAGAGAAACATCGATGTGAGAGAGACACAGTGAGTGGTTGCCACCCACAAGACCCCAACTGGGGCCAGGGACCAACTGCAACCGAAGTACGTGCCCTTAGCAGGAACCAAACCTGGGACTCTCCGGTCCGCGGGCCAACGCTCTAACCGCTGAGCCAAACCGGCCAGGGCCTGGCTGTAGTTTTTTAAACAGTTTCGTACTATCACCTTGCCTTTGCTCAGCACATTCTCTCTGCCTAGAATAATTTCACGGGCCTCCCCTCACAATTCCTACTCTGCTTTTGAAACTTCATTTCTAGAAAACTTTTCCTGAGCCTGGCCTACCCACACGCCCTGTGATCCAGGCACCTGTTCTGGGGCTTCCATAACTACTTGCCACTGCGCATGCCACATGACCGCCCACACCTCCCAGCCGGGGAATGCACTCTGCATCTGTATGTTCGGGGCCTAGCAACACACACTTGCACATGGTTAAGTGCCCAATACATTTTATGGAACTGTACTAGATCATCAGAGCTGGTTATATAACCCCAAAG